AAAAAAAAAAAAAAAAAAAAGACAAAAAAAGTCTTTGGCCACCTATGGCCAAGGTGAGGGACAGCTAGCCCCAGAATGCTTTCTCAAGGAAGGGGAATATTGCTGACCCAGCCAAACATTCTTATAAGTGGAAAAAATAGGTTTGCAAATCTAAATCATTTCATGTAATCATTTTATAATAAAACTGAGCCAACACTTATCTAAACATACTTTGAAGAACACAAATTGTCTGACTGTAAATTAAAGCTTGGGTTGGTGGTTGAAGCAAATTGTAAGCAAAAGGTTAAACGTGAACCATAGGATACATAAGGGAGAAGGCACTGGAAAACTATGAAAGCAAAGCTTTCACTGTGATGGCTCTTGTGAGCATGCCTGGTGAGTTACAAGTTGTACAGGCATCAATTACTATAACAGATATGACACTTCCATAGTAAGTGGCTTCTATATACAAAGTTCTGCCATTGCTTAGAGTCATGAAGGATATTCTATAGAGCCAGCAACACAGGACACAATTAGGTTATCTAATAGTTTTGTAACCATAAAAATCTAAGCAGCACTCAAAGCCAGCAGATGAACTAAATTTAGAACACAACTCGGACGCCTGTTCTGTAACACCACCTCACCTCTAGTCAAACTAAGTCATTTGTGTTTGCTTTACTGAGCCATGATTCAGGCATGTATGGATTGCTTATGCTTCAGGAAGAGGTCCTGACAAGTAAACCTGGGAGATGATTAGTAAAGATGTTACAAGGTTCCACTATGACTATTTGTAGCTTGGCTATCCATTGGCACTGATGTGGCTTCTAAGGTTGCAACTCTTCCACGAAGGACAATCTTTAATTTGCTTTCTTTCTGTAATCATAGCAATTCATCCCTGCAAACCTCAGACGTTACTATGATGGGCTTGCCTTCCTTTCTGTGGCCATTTTTCCATTTAACACATTGCAATAGCTCCTTAGAAGTGTTTATTACACTTCTGAACTTCTCCCACGCCTTAAATTAGCTTCACTAAAAATCAGCCAGTGTTTAAATTCAATATGTACACTGTTTTAATTATGGATATTTTCTGCTTTGATGGCTTTGGAAAAGTATAGCTTCTCCAAACCACACCTATATTTGGTGAGGGAGACTGTGGACGTCTTCAGGGAAGCTCTATTTTTCTTTCACCTCAGACATCTGGTTAGTGTTCAGTAAAATATGATGTTAGACTTCATTCCTTTGTCCAGAAAGCACGTGATTTGTAATTTTCCATTTTATAAACCAAGGTGCACTGGAGTCTGAGATGATTACAGCTCTCTCAAGAACTCAACCTGGAGAAACTATAATTCCTGCTTAGGATGGTTTCAGAAAATATTCTCACAAACTATCTCAGTCAAAGGCCACTCTATCTTTCCAGCTGCTAAAAACCTTGGGGTCATCCTTGACTTCTTTCTCTCAAACCCATATCCAACTTATTAGCATATCCTATATCCTGACCTGAACAACTTCTCATTATTTCCACTGCCACCACTAAGGCTGAAGTTTCCATACTGGGCTGCAAGACCCTGTATGACCTGTGGTCTGCATACCTCCACCCTTCACAACTCCACTCAGACACACCGGCCTCTCGACTCTTCCTTTAACCCAGTGTAAATAAGCAATGTTTTATCCTGGAGCTCTCATCTCACCCACATGGCTCACTTTGTCTTGGTTCCTGCCCAAATGCTTTGTTATTAAAGAAGCCCTTCCTGACCTCTATATCAAATAGTTCCTACCCTCCAGCACCCTTTCACCTTACTCAGCTCTGCTGTTTTCCATCTGACAATCACTGACTTATCATCATGTGACAAATTATGAATTTGTTTGTAATTTGTCATTCCTCAGTAGAATATAAGCTCCAGAAGAGGGACTTTGTTTTGGTTACCAAAATCCCTGGTACATAACCTTAATGCTTGTAGAATGAATAGATTAATGAATAAGTAAATGAGAAGGTAAAAAAGCAGAGTCGAACTGCCAATGGTAATTTTCAGTTAGTAGACAATAAATTTTTTTTAGCACAAAAGATATATAATTTATAAATACATTTTAATTTTCCCCCCCAAATCTAAATAGAAAATAGAAAAGATGCTAAATTTCAGTTAACACATAAGAAGTGTCTAAAAGAATGTATAATAGAGGGTAGGTGTTCAATAACTGTTTTCCTGATTCCTTCTAAGTGCTAATTTGGAGGTACTTACCTTTGGAGCGCACTGGAAATGCATTCCAGGCACAGGTAGAGTAGTAACGTACATTGTAATGCAGCGATACAGGTATAAAGTTCCAATAATAAAAAAGAATCTGCGCCCCACTATTGACCTAAAGGGAAAAACATAGATGGGGAAAAACAAGTTTACTGGTTGTTTTTATTCCTAATGAAAAATAAAACAATGTTTAACAGGATAAAGAATAATCAGTACAGAATGGCATTAACAAACAAACCACAGTTTCACAGAGTCTAAAGGCTTATTTGTGAGTTGCCCGTCACTACAGTTCCATGGAGAGATTGTACCACAGTTTTCAGAAATGAAGATTCACACACTGCAATAAATCTAGGTGATTTGGCTTCCAAAGGACACGTGTGTGTGTGTATGTGTGTGTGGGGTGGGGGGGGTGGAACTAAAGTAGACAAAGAGTCTACATAATCACCTCTCCTCAAAGTCACTCTTTGCCAGAGAATTCAATGAAGCTGTCTATATTTTCAGTCAACTCACTGCATTAATAAAAACCTCTCTTGAGAACATATGAAAGGAATAAGCAAGCCACAGTAACAATGGAATTAACTAATCAGCCAAGGTGACATTACATAATTGGACACATAGGGAAATGTGACAACACATCTAACCCATGGTATATAAGCAGGGTTTATTTGAGGACCATCCAAAGGTATTTTGACCACACAGGCATGAACTATTTTCTCTATGACTAAATAGACTTTCAAAAAACTCTATCTTGAAAATGTTCAAAGTGTCCTCATACAGTTAATCACATTTAATAGTGAAGTTGTAAGCGGACTGATTTATTTTATTTAATCTTGATCAATAAAAGGGCAAAAAAATCCCCACAAGTCCTTTTTCACTTTATATTTCTGTGGGAAGAAAGCTGTCTTAACTAACATTAGTCTCTGTGCTTTACGACCTGGGTCCTCAGCCTAATGCAGGCTTCCAAGTAGATGACTGAGGATCCTGTCTTCAAAATGGAAGGGCTCTGCCATTGTACCACAGCCTCATGGGTGTATGTGAATGGGCATCATGGGTCTGAATGTCCTCAGTCCAGCTGAACAGGACAGCCCCCTTTCTGTTATATAGTGAGGTCTATAAGCTCTGGGATTAAGAGATGAGTGGGACTCTGCATAAAGCCCCTAGACTTGCTAGGTGTAACTTCCTTAGTACATAAAACATATTACTCTAGGTCTTTCATTTTCAGAGCTCTCAAGCTTTTAAGACTGGTAGTGATCAAAGACTTCTGGAAAAACAGGCAGTTTCAGGTAATGTGGCATATTTTAAGTTTTCCATAAGTTGTGGTTCTGACATGAATCAAGGTCTAATTCAGGTAACATTTGGAACTTCTAATTTGAAGAACTATGTATAAATATATAGTTTAACTGTCTGTTTCCAACAGCTATTTTAAGAATATTTCAGGGTTTCTGGGGTCAAAAAAAAAAAATAGAAGGGAACACCACCTAGACTGGTAGATGAGAGCACTGATTTATCCCAAGGCATTTCCTTAAAGGCTTGCTATTCTAGCTCTGAAAAGGAGCAGGTAATAAACAGTGCTGAGTTTCTCCTCCTGGTTAAGGGAAAACTGATTCAGCCTTTGATTCAACCCCAGGTTCCAAAAGAGTGCTGTTTTGAATTGTGCTCCATGCTGTTAGACAAGGTGAATAAGCAGAAATTATTATGTCAATTACATTCATTCCAGCATTCTGAGTTCAGCTGTACTCAGAACTGAAAACTAACTTAGAAGGTAAAGATGTACTCTACAGCCATATTTAGAAAAAGAACTACTGCTAATGATTTTTCCCATAGCTTTGAAAGGTGCTTTTAAAAGAGAGAGAGAACAAGCAAGAGTTCTCATTCAGCTGGGATGTTCAAAACAGGTTATAAAAATTATTCCACTAGTTACTAAAATGTAAGATCCAATTCTACTTCAAACATAAAAAGGCAAACGTGTGTGAGTTGCCACTGAAATAGTGGATATCATGAAAATGTATGGTCTGGCTATGTGACCATGTGTTTCGACATGTTGAAATCTAAGGTGGTTAAGTAAAGGCAGTTAACAACAACTATCTAATGAAAATTCAAAAAGTATCTAGATGAAAATATAAACTGAGGGAAAGACTGTACTTCAGAGTGGAGTCCAGATACTTACCAGACCCTGGACAATTTCTCTTTTCACACATATATGAATAAAACTTTGCTCTAAATAAAGGAGAAAGCAAATATCTGCGGCCTTAGCAGGCTCTTACATTGTGTCAATTTCTAGACACTAAAAAGAAAAACACTAAAGTTCATAAATACATTCTTTGCTTTTAGCATAAAGCATTCTTTAACAATTTCAGAAGCAGGTTACTTCTACTAAGTAAAAGACAACTCATAGCTAGATCTATTACTTAAGCATACTCAGGAAACATATGAAGAGTTATATTAAGGAAAATGCTTAGGAATGACTGCAGTTTGTGGAATAAGGTTTTAAGACTGCAAAGCTGCATTTGGGGAACTCTTTAACAAAGACAGACTGAATTCATCTAATCACAAAACAGTAGCAATGCTAGGGTCTGAGTGCATATACCACATTGAGAGTTCTATAACTGATCATGTAATGAAAAGTGTTACCAACTGAAAAACGATACAGAATAAATTCTCTCTTCTAAAGATCTTCTGGCATTAATATTGAAATCCTATCTGACTTGGAATCTTCAGATTGTAGCCAAGTTAGCATACATTACATTTATAAACTCCGTATTATGGTCAGTGTTTTGATCAAAATCATATTTTAGTGATTTAATCACTAGCATTCCAGTAGAAAACAAACGTCTAAATGATGAATGAGAGGCTCCTTGGAATTAAGGAGCCTTCATTTTTATGGACTAGAAGTCAGAATTCACATAGAGAAGCAGAAATAACCACTTCAGGGCTATGTCCAATTATTAAGTGTCTTCAAAGCAAAAGTACCTGGCTTATTTCTTCTTGATTCCCTACTATTCCAAAAATAAGGAGGCTGAAGGCAGTGAACCGTGAGCTCCTTTGTGGTGCCCAAAGGAAATCAGAGGGCAAGTTTACTTTAGAAATCTAAAAATCAAAACCACATGGATACCGTTCTAAACTCAGTTTCTTAAACTCTTGTAACTAGATAGAAAACAAACAGCAAACTGAAACCACACCCACACCCCCAACCCCACAGAAATGTAAAATTTGAGAACCGAATCCAGGCAAACCTTACAGCACACTATTGACTCTACACCAATACAGACATCACATTATGAGTAATGGAGGAAAAAGTTTCTCAACCTATTCCTTTTCCCACCTGTCAAGAGCCTGAAATAACATAAGCATGATAGTAGTGAGTACTATTCCTTTCCAAGCCTCTCGATTTATCATACAAACACCATAGCACCAAGTTGCTGGAAGTCAGGAACTGCACCTTAAATTCATAAACTCTGAGTCACCCACCACAGTACTGCTGTACACTGCCACTTTCATACACAGTTACTCAACAAACACTTACTGAATAGCGACTTAGTTTATTCACTGTGGTAGAGCTTTCTACTGCTTTTTTATCATCAAATGTTTGGATAAGACTGAATTTACTGGAGATAATGGAAAAATAATCTCAATTACCCATCTATTCACTTAAAAACAAACCAATGGCAAATCCCCAACACATATTAGATTTACTTACTTGTATCTCAGAAACAGCCACTGGGTGATCCATAATCCAAATAATACAATTCCATTTATTTCTGATACAGAAAATGCCCATTTTACCCTATCAATGTAATCAAAAAACTTGTCTGGGAGTGGAGGGCTAAGCTCCTTGGGAGGGACCCTCTCATGTACAACTGTGATCATGACAGTTGTCAAGACAAGGTTGAAAGCCGCATAGATGAAGGCAATGCCCGTTTTCCACCACTCTAGTGGAAATTTGTTCCTCGATTCGGTGGGCATAGCAATTTGGATATAGTCTGGGTACTTTTTGGTGCCTTTTCGCAGCCCACTGGATAAGCTTTTGGGTTTACCGTTGCCATTTTTGTTTTCTTCTTCAACAGGTTCAGCGGGTCTTGTGTAAGTGTTCGTAGCATCATTAGTTTGATTTTCCAAATGTTCTTCAAGTTTTGCTGTCTCTATGATATCCATTGTCCCCTAGTCTTCAGATCAAAAAGGAGATGGACAAGTTCTTGTTCTTTGTAGAAATTTAGCTGTTTTTCAATCCTTCTATTTCCAAGATCAACATAGACTCTTACAATGGACTTTGTTTCCTAATACAAAATGTAGAAGGTAGCCGTCCAATTACTGTTCCTTCCATGCAGCTATCTGCTGTACCTTCACCACTTTCAAGAAAGGAAGCCAATTCTTCCCCCAAAAAGATGTTACTATCCCACCTAAAAGCAAAACAAAATTATGTTCAGAAATTTTGCTTGTCCAATTGTCAACCATCCAAAACAAAAACATTCTCAAAATAAGGAAACTAATACCAAAGTCATCTGCTTTATAAACATAAAATCAGAACCTACTTAAAGCTGCCGAGATCAAGTTTATTTACAAAATACTGCTTTATCTTGGAATTCATCTCTTTTTGAACTAGTATCAGTAGAAATAGGAACATTTTAACAATTTCCTTAAAAATCAGGACCCAACATTGCAAACACTTCATCAGACACTATCACTTGTTGCTAACCATGAAGTCATAATAAGCTAGGAACTACCCAGAAGTCACAGCAAGCCTTCCTGAGACTATATTTTTTATGAGCCATAAAGAAAGAATAAAAACTGGTAAGTTGCTTACATGCACTGAATAATTGTTACTCTCTACATTTGTCAAAATAGTCAATTTTCTAATTAAAAAACAGAAGCCTTTTTAAGTGACCACTTTTAAGAACAGATTCAAGTACAACACATTCAAGATACTTAAAATGACACAGCCTCAGTTTATCCTTTTATATTCAGAGAACCACACCATATACAAGCAAAGCTGGCAGCCTTCAAAATAACTCTGAAAAGACACACCAAGCCTTAGCTATGTCTCTTACGTAGGTAACAAGTAGAATGTATTAGAAGGACAAAATACTTCACTACCATTGACATGATAAATTAGTAACTAACATTTTGATGCAGCCACCACAATTTCTACCAAACAACAGAAACAGGCCTCCAGGGGACCAGCTCAGGGGACTCACCCACCATGACACCACTGAGGATAACTACCTTCGGCTTCAGCTCCACAGGCTCCAGAGAGCACAGATTTCTTTAGGACACAGAGCACCACCGCCACCTCTTTTATACTTGCTAGCACATGGGCCCAGCTGTTTTCAATTTAGGAAAGCAGTCTTTTAGTCCTGCTACAGAAGACAGCCACCTGATGAGGTTTTTGAACCTTGTAATTATTCCCCTCCCTGGATACACTGCTCAACTTAAGCACACTCCGCTGCATTTTAAAGGCCTCCCCTTTCAGAGTAACTTCAGGGAAAACTGAAGAGGACAAACTCAAAGTGATGACAGCTAAGCCTTTATTTAATGAAAGAAAAAGAAAAAGAAAAAAACAGTGAAAATGGCACAGTCAATATGTACAGGCAATGTCTGTTTATAATTATGGGTGGCAAACAGATAAACCACAAGTATTTACTGTGCACCTAAATGCCCCAGTGCTGAGGGCTATGTAGGGGAAATTAAAAGGAGTGAAAAACACCTGACCTGAACATTCAGCCAAAGAGCTTGCAGTCTAACCAAAGAAACAGGACTAAAACGATGAAAGACTACTGGAGAAGACCAAATGGTATTTTGTGAAAGGAAGGAGAGGGATGAGCTAACCACTAGATAAAAAAAGAGGTTGAGTTGTACTGCGTCCCTGCTCCCGGGACAAGATGTGTCCACACACAGGCTCTGTTTCTGAGAAAGCAAAAGCATGTGGAATGCTGACCTGGTAGAGAAATGGGGGATCAAGAGAGCATGAGACTAGCTAAAAGGTGCTACTGAGAATTATGAACATCTCACCTTTCTCTTGTCCTTCTGCAGAGCCCCCAGCTATCAGTACATTACAGCAGGGTGAGAAAGGCCCAGTGGCCCTCTGGCTTGACAGTGTCTTGTTACAATGTTGTGGGAAGAATAAGCACAATGTACAGGTGTCTCAGGAAGATATTTTCAACAAGAAACCTTCAACAGCATGAACTACTACTTTTAATGGAGGTCCGAAGCACTAACGCAGCCATTTCCTGTTTCTCTTTAGCAGCCTTGCCTAATCCACTTACAGCATCTTGCCAAACCATCATCCAAATCCCCTTCCACTTTACTCTTCCATGTGTGCTTCTACTCTTGTGTTCATGTGTGAAAGAAGCTTGTGATTTTGAAGCTCCATTTCACAGTGGATGTACAGATGGTCTTTATAAGGTAGCTACTCAGTTCTAGAACACAGAATGTGGAACAGAAGAAAATTCAATTAGTAACCTTTTTTTTTTCTTTTTTCTTCCTAAGAGGAAACACTCAGCCACCCACCTCTTGGGACTGCTGAGAGAATGACTGAAATAATTAATTGTGAAGAGCTTTGTGCCCCTGGGAGTAAGAACACTATGTGACTACAATGCCCTTTTATCATCATTAGCATTAAAATTAATATTTTCCTTGGGATTTCATTAAGATTAGCTATACACAGCACATTCATCATGTGTCAACAACTCTTGGGATGAAATGTTTGTCATCAAGATAATGATCACAACATACTCATTCCAATTGTGAAAGAAAAATATCTCAGGGCCCCAAAATCACTAAGCGAAAGGGAAAAGTCAAGGTGTGAACTGCTTAGGGCAAACCTGCCTCCCATTCTATCCAAAGTCAAACATATCTGCTCAGTGAGATAAATGCATATCTGATTGCCTCCTTTGGAGACAAGCTAATCAGAAACGCAAAATAATGCAACCATTTATCTTTGATCTACTCTTTGACCTAGAAGCCTCTTTCCCGCCTTGGGTTGTCCTGTCTTTCAGACGAAACCAATGTTCACCGTACATATGATTAGTGTCTTATGTACCCCTAAAATGTATAAAACCAAACTGTGCTGTGATCACCTTGGGCACATGTCTTCAGGACCTCCTAAGGCTGTGTCATGGGTGTGCATCCTAAACACTGGCAAAATAAACTTTCTAAATTAACTGAGATCTCAGATTTTCAGATTTTCAGGGTTCACATTTTAGTAACCACAGAGGGATTATGAATGGAGGTGCCCCTCACCTTTGACAAATCTCCTATCAGTGCTTGGATCAACCTTGAGCTATCTTTATGACTCAAACCAATAGGACAATTTGCTGAGGCCTAGAAGCACCCATTCCAGAGAATCACTGATCTCCTTAACTTTGGTGGAGATCTAACGTTTATTTTGCTGTACAACTCCTTTTTTTGGAGTTTTACTTGCTTCCAACACAAGGAAGGCAAGTTTTTCCTGCTTCCATGATAATGGGAGACAAGTACTCCTTTATGGAGTTTCCCTTTCAACAGGAAAGATGAGGGTTTTTTGTTTTTGTTTTTTTCCAGCTCCTAGTGACACAGGAGATAGAAGTTATTTAGGCAGATAGTGAGGGTAAAAATCCTTGTCAAGGCTTCCCTTCTAACAGAAAGCAGCCCAAGAAATGTTTTTTTGCCTGAAGAATAGAGCTGCAAACATAGATAAGCAAGCTGGAAGCTTGCACAGGTTAATGCTGGCAGCTGTGCCAATACAAAATGGCTACCTGGGGGCCGGGTATGTTCAACATGGAGGCTCCATCTTCCCTTTTGTCACCATGTGCACAGTAAAGAAACAGGCAGCATGGTTCCGGCGAGGTAGAAAATCCATCTGCATAATAAAAGATTAGGGTGGGGCAGCCAGCTTTTTGCACCCTATGCAAATGGCACGCCTGGTCCAACCAATCTTTCATGCCCTATGAAAATCAAACACCACCTCCTCACACTCATCTATAAAACCTCCCGCATTTCACCGAGGAAGGAGAAACCCATTTGGGACCCCTTTCTCTGCAGGAGAGAGCTCTTATCTTTGTTTTGCCTATTAATCCTCCACTTTAAACCTCACTCCTTGTGTGTCCACATCCTTGATTTCCTCCACATTAGACAATGAACCGTGGGTATCACCCCAGACAACAAGGCTGCTCCACTAGGATGATAGAGAGCAGTCTTCAGCCTGAGACCCACCCCTAGATAACTAACTGAATTGAGGTTTGTCTTGGCTCAAGTTAAAATTAAACAACCAGCTGGTCTTAATGTCTCCTTACCATTAGAGTGCACAGTCATCATAGAAGTTGTGCAATCATTTGGTTTAACTGGTTTTTTGTTGTAGCTGTTGTTTTTGTTTTTGTTGTTGTTTCAGTATTTTTCCCATTGGGTTTGACCAACTCTATCCGACTTGATCAAATCCGAAGGAAAGTTCCAAATTATGGGAAACAAGGGATCTGAAGTGGCTAAATTCCCATAGGCACACACAAAAAAGGTGGTGTGGCACAGCGGTATGGTCGGGAGAGAGAAACAGCCAGCAAAAGAAGAGAAAAAAAAAGGAAAGACTTCTGACTATTCAAGGGGCTTTATTTACAATAACAAGGCCACCTTTTTGCTAGCCAGGTCAAACTGAAAGTAATGGCTGTCACCCCATGCTGCAGTGCAATAGCTAAGCTCCTGCTTTTTCCACCATGACAGCCTGGCTTTTGGTTCCTAAATCAAGCCCTTTCTGGTTTGATACTTGGTACTTCTGAAATAGTGGCAATTTGTCCTAGTTCATGAAATACGGAAATGAGATTTAAAGAGTTTTTTTTTTTTAAAGGAACTCAATGGTTAAAGTCAGCTTAATTAAAAGCTACCACATCCAAGATGTGTGTCTGTACCTATGTATGTGTTTGTTATTTAAAAGGCTTTTATGTTTTTCTTTCTTTTTTCTCTCCTTCACTTTTTCTTTCTTTTTTCTTCTTTTTTTTGAAATGGAGTCTTGCTCTGTTGCCCAGGCTGGAGTGCAGTGGCATGATCTTGGCTCACTGCAACCTCTGCCTCCTGGGTTCAAGCGATTCTCCTGCCTGTCTCCCAAGTAGCTGGGATTATAGGCATGTACCCACTACACCTGGCTAATTTTTGTATTTTTAGTAGAGATGGGGTTTTACCATGTTGGCCAGGTTGGTCTTGAATTCCTGACCTCAGCTGATCCACCTGCCTCACCCTTCCAAAGTGTTGGGATTATAAGCATGAGCTACTGTGCCCAGACCTCCCCACTTTTTTTGAGCAAAAGTTTTTTTCTTCTAAGTTGACTGGATTCTGTTTTCTTCATTTACTTCTGCTTTCTCTCCATTCTTTTCCATCCTCTGCTGCATGAGGGATCTAAAATAGTTTATAATAGCCTGGGATTCCTTAAAGAAAATGGAGAAGGTACCAGACTCCCTTTCAGGGAGAAACCTGTTTCTCCTTATGGAACCAGAAGAGTATAAACAGACAAGTTCATTTCAGCTTTTAAACTGCTTTTGTACTGTTATCTGATTTACTGACTAAAATAGTAATTACAACAGAGGCTACTCTTGGGTTTTTAAAGAAGAGTGTAGTTTAGACACTTAGAAATGTCTTTGTTTAAAAAATTTTTTTACCAAGTGCACCATAAAAACATAACATGGTCTAGCCTCATAAATAATCTCAGGATTCATTGTGGGCTCTGCCCAGAGCTCAGAGATCTGGTTTAAAAAATAGGTAGTGCCTATCTAAATAAAATTTGTCTCCTTACACAATCCTATGATAGATTTTTATAATTTGATGTTAGATTTGGCATCCATCTTTAATCTCCCTCTAGCACAACAGACTATTTCTTTCTGAACCTTATGACGTAAATTTTGCTATTTGATTTTCACCTGAGTTGTTTAATATGCAAATTTAAGGCTATTTAGCTGACAACTATCTAAGGTTGTGAAACAGGTTATCAAGCTATGTATTATATGTTGTGTACACATTGTCTCACTACTGAAAATATATTAAAAAGTTCTAATTAATTGGCTTAAAGAAAAATAAAAGCACTTGAATCAAATAGTTTATCACGAAAAAAGAAGAGACTAGTCCAATGGTTTTTCAAGTTTATGTAACTTAAGTATAATCTTCAATAAATAAGCTTGCTTTAAAATTATTGGTAAAGTAATATTAGAAATGTCTTAAGAATTTCCAGCATACATTCTTGTTTGCATTTATTCATCAAGCAATTTCATACTTATCCCTGCTAAATACTATAAGGTGTCAAAATTTGACATGGGCGTTATAAAACTATGAGCCCAGCCCAAAGCAGAATGAACTTTCCTTGTGTAACCTTTAATAAATAAGACATTTATATTGGTTTAATAAAAGATAGCTACATCCTGAATTTAGTAAGATTACCATAACTTCTAATTTTGTGGCTTTGTGTGGTTTAGTTCACAGGCAGTGAGGTTTGTTTTGAGAAAGGACTGTTACTGTCTTTGTCCCAAAGTTAGTTTGGTCTATGCCCAGGAATGAACAAGGACAGCTTGGAGGTTAAATGCAAGATGGAGTCAGTTAGGCCAAATCTTTTTCACTGTTTCAGTTATAATTTTGCAATGGTGGTTCCAAAACTTTAAATGATTATTGCAGTTTTCATAAATAATCTAAGTAAACAATCAAAATAAAATAAGTAGGTAAATGAAATGGGATACTTGTAGACAAACATTTAGAATTTAAAGTTATATCAAATTAAATCATAGATATTTCATTATTTGGGTATATTCCAATAAAAATATATTTGTAGGAAAACATTCTTTAAAAAAAAAAGTGGTTTTTAAAAAAAGTGAACAATTTTGCTTATTTAAAGGTCATGTAGAAATCAAAGTAAAAGGAACCAGGAAATAAGAGAGATGTAGAGAACATTATAAAAAATAAAAAGGTTTTTGTTTTTTTGGTAAGAAGGCTTAAAGAGAAATAATTTTATATGAGAAATAATCTTGTATGAGATTCTTCACATGAGAAAGAATTTAGTCTTAGAATAGAATGACTGGTTGTTTAGGAAAGAGGGATGTTCCGGACAAACCAGAAAGTCCAAGCATGTCATGAACAGTCTACGTAAATCACAACACGAGGATTAAAAAAACTTATATGATCAGGTTGTCATATTTTTAAATTTTGGTTTGCTTAGGAAAAAACTGAGATTAAAAGGTTTTTTTTTTAATTAATGTAATTACATCCACATATGTCTCTGTATGAGCTTTTAAAGTACTTGTGACATTGAGTTACAAGGCTTTGACTCTTGTGTCTTAAAAGGATACCAAGTCCTGTTAAATTTTAAAATACTTGTGACATTGAGTTACAAGGCTTTGACTCTTGTGTCTAAAAAGGACACCAAGTCCTGTTTAAATTTATCAGTCAAACACTGATCACAATTAAACCCCATCCTCAGGCCCAATAGAAGATGCCAATCAAAATAAACTGCATTCCTGAGACACTGGGTCAGAAATTAAAGCTATTCAACCCCTCAAGGCCCAGGAACTATCAAGGAAGATGTGAGTGTATGAGACTGCAGGAGCTGATTTTTAGAGATAAAATCAGTTCAGTTTTTTTTATAAAGTAATCAATATCAAAGACACACTGATGCAAGACCAGCATATGGCCCTTGTGTCTGATTAACGAGGCTTTCTTGAAGCATTAACTGACTCCTTAATAAAGTTATAAAAGGCTTATGCAAGTTTTATCTTATAGTCAAGATTAAAACTTTATAGTTTACAAAATTTTGAAAATCAAATTTAATTGGCTTCATTCTGTTTTTACTAGGGCTTATTGTTTGGAAAATTAAGTCTCCTCTCTCAAAGAATGGAGGTTTTGCCTTTTTTTAAAATCCAGTGTTAACACTTTGGTTAAATGAAATGACTCATTTTACAATGACTTGTGATATCAAGTGTTTTAAAACTTTGATATTGACAAACTTTCCAAATCAAATTATAAATTATGTGTTTTTCATACCAAATTAATCCTTTAAGATATTAGGTTCCCTAAAGTCCAAAAATGTCATATTTGGCTTTGGTATAAAAATTATACTGAAAGCATTGTCAAATATAAAATGGTGTTTGGTTGCTGTTTTTGTATAAATATGTTATTGGGATATGTTCTAAAATTATGGGTAACTTCCATAATTCCGATATGACTTAATGTACATTATCAGTAATAATTACAATTGTTATGTTAATTTATAAGAGTGCCACAGAGGTAACAAATTTCCTTATCAATTGTGTCTTTTACTATGGCTGCCCTAAAATTTTTTGTCATCCACAGACAATTTTTGTCTTGTTTTGGTCCTCTTTACAAGGTGGTTTTATAATGGTTTCTAATAACTTTGGAGATTTTTATATCAGAATAGAGGAAAAATTTTCAGGACTCATAGAGAGCTGAAATGTTCATGAATATCAAGCAGAACAGGAATTAACTGCATGGATGAAATTAACAGAAGTCTGAAGTAATCTTTTTAACTTTGTTTAAAATCTGTTGATCCTTTGGTTTGTTTTTCGGAGTCAGGAAAACTTTTCTTTTAAACTATTTACAGCTTTTAACAATTGAGTAAAGTATACTCCTATGAACAAAATTTGGAGCATATTTGTTTTCTATCTGATTTCTCCAGAATTTGGAAACTATTTGTGACTATTCTTATGGCAATATAGTTATTTGCATAAGTGCAATAAGAATATGTTTTCATTTATAACATAACTGGAGAAACTGGTTATTTTACCAAGGCTTTGGCTGGAATAGTGTGCTTTCCTTTCAAAAATTAAACTTGACTTACAGAGCAATAAAAGGACTTTGGGAAAACTAGCCTCATACTTGTTTACACAGTCCCTGTACAGGGTTCCTGACCTGTGGTAAGTAAAGAATGTCACTTTCTGACAGGCCTAGGAGTTCCAAGTTTTATCTTGGAACCTCAAGAGGAGAGAATCACCCAATTCATAGGTATTTGATGACACAAATCCATGGCTGGTCTTGGTTTTAAAAAAGTCTTATCTAAGATTCCTTCTATGGGTGCTGTGGCTCATACCAGTAATTTCAGTACTTTGGGAAGCCAAGACAAGAGGTCACTACTGCCTAGGAGTTCAAAACTTGTCTGGGCAATGTGGCAATACACCATGTTCACAAAAAAATACAAAACATTAGCTGGGTATGATGGTGTGCCTGTAGTCCCAGCTACTTGGGAGGCTAAGGTTGGAGGACTGCTTGAGCCCAAGAGGTTGAGACTGCAGTGAGCGGTGATCACACCACTGCATTCCAGCCTGGATGATGGAATGAGAACCTATCTCAAGAAAAAAAAAAGTTGCTGTTACCCAATATTAGTTATGTAATGTAGCCTAGTGGTATAAACCTGCTGCTGCCACCATTTTTACTGTCTGATGAACTTTAGAATCATTTTGTCAGATGACAGGAAAAATCCTACTGGCAGTATTAAAAGGA